GTAATATCGCCATTTTGATGATGTTAGTTCTGCCTATCCATGAACAGGGTATATTTTTCCATCTTCTAAGGTCTTCTATATCTCTCTTTAGGGTTCTGTAGTTTTCATTGTATAAGTCTTTCACCTCTTTTGTTAGGTTGATTCCCAAGTATTTTATTTTTTGGGGGGATATTGTGAATGGTCCCTGCTCCTTTTTAAATTAAAAAAAAAAAAAAAAAGAGTACTGGAACATTTCACACAACGAAATACAGGAAATTAGAATGTCAAAAAATTCCTGAGGCCGTGGCACACAGTAAGACAGCAAACACCCAGCGGGCTGGGGCTTTTGTAGACCTCACACAATTAAGAGCCAAAGGTGGCACACCCTACATTTTCACTCTAGACTTCCAAGCTCAGCCACTTTCTCCTGGTCACTTCTCAAGAAGCAAGACAAACTGTCTCCCACCCTCCCTGGCCTCAGGCCCCACATGCTGCCCTCTGTCTCCTTTCTGCTAGCTGCAGTGTGAGGGCCCTGCTCCAAAGGACACCTGGCTTGTTGGCATCTCATGGCTCTTGGGTACCTGACAGGCCACCTACCGTTCCCACCAGTGTCAGGCCCTCATCACATCCATGCAGTTGTTCTACAGGTGACTGTGGCCACACCCTTGAGCCCAGAAGGCTGGATGGGAACTCCTATGGCCCTGTGGAACCCAACTGAGTCTTCTCAACACAGGGGTGACAACCACAAGACTGGGTAGGTGACTCGAGTCTGGAAAAGCCCTCAGGCTACGCACCTTTCTGGCACTCTCCTTCCGGGGGTGCTCCTCAGCCTGCTCAGACTCTGTGGGTGGCCCCAGCATGGTGCCCTGTTCCAGTGCCCGCCGGCCCAGCTCACTATCCAGTTTCATGCTCTGTGTAAATTTCTAGAGCAGGGTCAAGAGAAAATGCTTGTTAGCTCCAACAGTAATGCTCTGCAGAAAACACTTGAGTTTCTGCAGGAGCTGAGGGCTGTGCCCATTCTGAAGGTACGGACACTCGTGTGCCTGTAGGAAGGAAGGGTACAGGTAAGAGGGCATCGGCTAAGCCACAACCTCCTGGGGATCAGCAGCTGATTTTCTGAAAACAGAACCTGTACATGAGTTTCCCTACTCTGGAACTCAATATGGCTCCTAAGTATCTAAGGAATAGGCTCCACATGTATTCTCCTGTAACCTGCCACCATGTATGTCTCCCACCTCCCAGATCTTGACCCCTCCCCACGTGCTGTCTGCAGAGCACGCTCTTGCTCCCTAGTCTTTAGCCTCCAGGCTACCCCTTCTGCCCACTGACACTTGTTTTCTGTACTGTTTTGGGGTAAGTACTTACGACAAGTTCCTCAAGAATACTTAGGCACATCAAAAAATTCAAGGTTTAATAAAAAACAAAAGGGATTCAAAAAGGACCAGGGCAGGACCCCAAGGAAGCCCATGTTCAGGAAGCAGTGTACTGGTCAGGAAGACCCAGGGGCTCTGCCAGCACTGGAGATGGCACAGGCAGGGCTGCATGCCACAATGGCCCAAACCATCCACCCCGCCTCACCTGCATGCAGTTGGTGAACATGACGCACACAGACATGAGCTTGGAAAAGACCTTCAGCAGCTCAGGATTAGTCAGCATGCAGTCCTTCAGGCAGGTGTCCAAGAAGCTCGTGTGGTGGCCAAGGACATCGTCAATGTTGGAGGCCTGAGAAGGGCTGAGGCTCAGCACTGCCACAGTAGCACCCAGCCTGACCCTCAGAAACATTGCTAAATACAGCACTGGCCTGTGATCTGTAGGGAAGTACCTGTCCCACAGCCCCCTCCTATCTCCCTCGCGTCATTGTGATGGAGAGATGCTGCTGCCTGCTCTCTGCTTCCTCCCTCCAACAGGACATGCTCATGACAGCCCCAGCATGTGGCTCCTGAGATGCTGCTGTGCAACACCCCGGGCTAGGAGAGCCTTTCCAGCACCAGGATCCAGGAGCTGAAACTCACGGACTTGAGGTTTTTCTCAAGGATGTGCCAGGTTGGCTCCATCACTTCAAACATCATGTAGTACTGGATGTTCTGAACAAAGTTGAGCATCCGTTGCCGCAGAGTGAAGGCTCCCGCGAACCTGAGGGAACAAGGGTTGGTTGCAGGGGAGCCAACAGAGCTGGGCCTCTACTGTGTCCCACATGCTGCCCACCAGCAGAGTGGACTCTCATGGCCACAGCTCCTGCGTGCTGCTGACAGCTCAGACACCTCAGTGCTGCGCCTAGGGACACTGCTCCTACCTCTGGCTGCATCAGGCTATCAGGTAAGCGACACGTCTAGCAGAGTTTGCAGGGATGTGCCAAGCAGCCCACCGTGGACACAGAGAATAGCCTCTCTGGTTATCTATGGCACCAGGGCTGGCAGGCGACCAACATGGGAACAACTACTATACAGACTCCATATTTTGTGCCTTATTGAGGCAAATTCTTAAATATTACCTCAACTGTTTCTCCACACAGGACTTGTTGCCACAGACCAGGGCACAGAAGGCCTGTGAGTGGAGCAATTCCCACACACTGCTGCTGTGTGCACTCAGGAGAGCGGACAAAGGCTCCCACCCTCAGGAGGGGCTTGGGTCCTGCAGAGAGACCCAGGTGGGCAGGTACCATGCCATCAAAGGACTGAGGAGAAGGCTGTGGCTGTGAAGGTCTAAAAGCAAAGCCACCTCTCCTGGAGGGAACAAGGACTCTGATGGACGCACCACTTTGCAGAATGCAGGGCGCACTGCTTGGCCGTCTTGTTGCTGATCCAAACACTGCACAGCTGCCGCTCCACGTGCTTACAGTAGAACATGTGCCTAAAGAGCATCTGGTAGCGAGTCAGTGCCTTTCTGCAAGAAGAATGCCCAGGCAGGGGTCAGCAGGAGGCCTGTGCCCAGACAGGCATCACCAGAGGTGAGGAGGCCCATGAGGAGGCTCTTGCTTCCTGCAGCCTGAATGGACAGCCAGGTCCTCACCTGTTGATGATCAGTGACAGGGGCCACTTGACGATATAGTCAAAGGAGAAGGCCTCCAGGCCACTCAGTGTGAGCTCAGTGGGATCAGCATGGGTCATTGCCTTTTCCTGCTTGGTCTCGATGGCCAGAACCCGCAAGAGCTGAGTGATGAGGTCATGAGGCATCAGGTCAATCTGGGGGCAAAAGCAGTAAACAAAGCATCCAGTTTTCAGAAGAAAAGACCAGAGTCATTCCAGGCCTTCACTCAGTCCTGCCTATCAGGACCTGGGGAAGCAAATTAGGTTCCTAAATCCTGACCCTTGATATTAGAGGCTGGCTTGAAAGGCCACGCAACTACCCATAAATCCTAATCCAAAACTCACTAGGGATGCAGCTCAGTGGTGTGAGGTGGCCCTGGTTCCAACCCCAGCACTGCAGAGAAAAACAAAAAATATACCTCCCAATAAGACAGGAAAAAGAAAAAAAAAGAAAAAAGCAGATGACTTTCTATATGCCTCCTGCTGCTGGTATAAAGGAGAAACCACAGGGAAGGCTGGATAAACAGTTCCTGAAGGTTGACACCTTTCTTCCACAACTTATGTGGTGAGAGACAGGACCGTAATCACAGGCTGTGGGGCTCAGTGGTAGTGCACTTGCCTCACAGGCAGGCACAAGGCCCAGTGCTCAGTCCCCAGCACTGAAAAAACTCCATAAGATTTTAAGAATAGTAACTACAAACAAATAGTACTGTCCACAACATTGATTCATTCAAATGTTTCTTAAGTGCCAACTGCATGTAGAATAGTGTGACAAGAGTTCCCACAAATCATGAAAATGACACAAGAAAAAACAAAGGAAAAGAATAAGTGGGGGCAAAGAATAAAGGAAGAAGCAGCACAACCCATGAACAGATTAGTTGCCCACCAGATCTAACACACAAGTGCCCCTCCTGCCCATCAGCAGCGCAGATGGGGATACCGGATGGGCAGCCTCAACTCCTCAGACAAGGACTGAGACTCAGTCCCAAAGGGGTCAGCCTAGGTGCACAGGGCACAGGCGCTGACCCCATGAAATCACTCCTAAGTTAAGAAGAGCCAAGACACATAAAGCAAGAAAGGGCAGAACTAGAGGGAAAATGAAGTTCAATCAGATAGTGGGGACCCAGTACCCAGGTGGGAGGGTAAGACGGGAGAGGACCCACGTGAACAGCGGGCAGCCCGACACCTACAGAGAGAAGCAGCACATTGCTCCAGAGGGCATGTGGACCTTCTCCAGGTATCTGTGAGGCCTGAGCAAGTCTTTTTTGTTTTTTTGTGGAGCTAGGAATTAAACACAGAGCTTCACATCTGCCAGATAAGTGAAGTACCACTGAGCTACATACCAACATTCCCCAGAGAAGTCACATTTTTTACAAAACTGGGATCAAAGTATATTCTCCAAGTACAATGGACCAAAATTAAATATAAGGAACGGGGAAAAAAGGAAAGTTTATAATATGTGGAAATTTAACATACCAAATCAATGGGTCAAAGAAGAAATCTCAAGAGACGTTAACAACTACCTTAAGAGGAATGGACACACAATACACAGAATTCACAGGAGGCAGTAAAAAAGTGCTCTCACAACATTCACAAAGGAGTGCCTCAAACCAGGCCCTGACCCCATGGCCCGGGACACCAGGAAGGGAGAGGGCTACACCAGTGCCCTCACCCCAGGGTCCTGGATACCAGGAGGAGAGTGAAGTAAACCCCGAGCAGCAGAAAGAAAGGCAAGTTGACAGCCAACAGCGGAGCACAGCAGAGGAGACTAACAAGCCTAGGTTCTCGTGAAATTGACAAACTTTTAGCTACACCGAGAAAGACGAGAGGACTCGTCACTAAACTCTGAAATGAGGGCAGAGTCCCCTGCATTGCACACCAGCACACAACTGCCCAGCAGAGACGGGCAGGAGCAGCAGGTGGCTTGATGGGGTCTGGAGGGTCTGAAAGGAAACCCCATCCAACCTCAAACAAAGCACACTCCCAAACTCTCCCAAGACCACGAGGAGGCGCACACGACCCTGGCAGGCCAACACTACCTGCTGCTGAACCAAACCAGCACACTGCAAGACACCACTGACAGGCATCCCTGGACATGCAGTGAGGGCTGGCAAACCAGAGAGCCACCCAGACACGTGACAACCCTGGCCGACTTGGAAGATGCTGGGCGGGGCCGCACCCCGCTTCAGGCACCTCAGGAGCAGGGTGCTATGCTGGGAGCCCCACGTACCCACCTTCAGGTCGTCCTTGAAGGGATCAGTGTTGGCAGTGCTCATGCGCAGGGCCAGCTCCAGCAGCGCCTCCAGGCGTGTGGGTGTGATGTCCTCTACCGGCTTTCTGAGCTCCTCCTCAGTGAGGTCCATGAAGTGCACAAAGAAGTCGCCCTGGTCCATCAGGAAGTAGCGCTTGATGGACCTGTGCCAGGGAGGAGGTGAGGAGGTGCTGAGCATGCAGCTCAGGGCTGCCACCCTGGAGCATAGCCATCTCACAGTGGGAACAGGCAAGACAGTTCTGTGGGCACAGTACCCTGGGACTCAAGAGACCTATACTAGACAGGGCCACCTCAGCCCACAGAACAGGTGCCAGGTCCCAGGCGGCCAGATTGCTCTTACAAGGATAAAGACAACTATTAGGAGGAACATGCTACCCTCAGTCCCAGGCCCTGAGCACCCTACTTGCTGCGCTTAAGAGTGAGCAAAGCACAACCTCAGGTGGGCCACCAGCTCTTTCTCCTCCATCAGGAAGTCCAGCAGCACCTTGCTGGCATAGTTGAATGCCTTCTCAATCTGCTCCACATATGCTCGTTCTTTGAGCGTGTAGATGATTTCTTTGGCCACGGGGCAGGTGACGTCGTGACCACACTCTCTGACCACATTGAGGTACTTTCCTGAAAAGAGGAAGGTGAAGTTGAGGAGTTGCCACACCGACCTCCGCCCAGAGCCTCATAAGCCCAACAAGCATGGGGCAGTGGGCTGGGCACAGTGTACACTTCTGTTCACACTACACTCTAGCTGGAAAGACAACCAACACCAGTGGACAGGGCCAAAAGCCCTGGGGTTTTCCAATCAAGAGAGTGGAAGTAACTTCACATAGGCCTGAGGAGAACCAGGGTGCTCAATCACCTACTGGGCCCTTTCTGTGCCAGTTCAGCTTTCAGAACCCACACATCACAGTCCTGGGGCCACTAGCACCTAAATTGGATCCTAACCTCATTCGACCGACTAAAATGAAGGTCGTGTGTCCTCAATGGTTTTTCCCATAGTGGTGACATTTTAGAAGTTAAAAAACAAAGATGTAAAGGATTGCGACAGCTTTCTGGTCAGGGCATGGAATAAACAAGGCCACTGCCTGAGTGTTCACGACGCACCAGAGGCCAGCAGCCTGGTGCACAAGAAGACACCCTGGGCAAAATCACCCCATGGGCACTGGAGCTAGAAGGCTGCCACCATCCCAGTAGGGATGTGCTGTAGCAGGAGGCCACAACCTCCCTGGGAAGGCCCCCTGGGCCGAGAGCTCCACACCATGGAGTCACCTGTGCTAAGAATCTTGCCGGCCACCTTCTGCAGGAAGGACGGGATCTGCTGCTGCACCACGGTGTATCGCTGGTCCCAATACTTGTCGTTGTAGTCTTCCTGAATCTTCTCCTTCCGTAGTTCATGCTCTTCCACCATGAACTCACTGGAAGCCACAGACAGATGCTCAGGCCACCATGGAGTGCCACTTCCAGAGAGATCTTACCAGGGCAAGGCGACTCGCCATAGTTACCTCTCAGCTGTGAGTTAAAATGAACCTCCAACCTCACTTTGGAGCAAGCAATGACCCTAGGTCAGAAGCAGGTGGTCTGATACCACATATCTATCCTTCCCTTAGCACAGGCCACCCAGTGTCACCAAGGAGAACCAGACACCCTCCACGGAGCCTCTGGCGTCACTTGCACACAGTGAGGAAGAAGCTGGGTTCCTTGATAGGCCCACCACACCAACAGCAAAGAAAAGGGGCTGGGATGCAGCTGCGTCGAAGAGGGTGTGCTCAACATGCAAGGCCCCAGTTTTGAGCACCAAAAGAAAAAAGAAAAAAACACAATTCTATGTCACAAATGTACTTCAAAAAGTTTTGACAAGCACATCTCAACACCACAAAACCCCTAAGGAACTGGCCCATTTTTGTCCTATGAATTTGGAGGCATCATGCTGAGGAGACACCCCCACATCAAGGTGACTGTAGTCTGACTCCTGGTGACCCCAAGGGCTTCACTCAGCAGAAAAAAAGCTGCAGAGCAACATCCCAGCAGCCAGATTCTCCCTGGGTGGCAGCAGATTGCACAGGGAGATGCAGGCAGGCATGGCTGCTTTGTGGAGCCCTACCTGTAAGGGTCATGGATGATGCCCCTGTAGATCCACTTCTCCAGGACCTCAAAGTAGGGCGCACTGGCCGCCTTGGTCAGGTACAGGCACAGCTCCTGCGCCTGGCTGTCCCCCGTATAGTTGAAGCTCCTGTCGTGCAGAAGGCTCAGTGTAGACCCGCCCATGCACTCGCCTCTATCCACCGAGGTGGCTGCAGAAGGAGAGAGGCTCACTGCCTAGGAAATGCCTCCTGGTCCACCCCAACCTTGCTAGACAGTGCTTCTCCCTGGGAACGCCCAGATGGTAAAGCTGTAGCTGTTAACTAAAGCTCATCAAGGAAAGCTTATAGGGCCTTCCGCATGCAGACCACTAACGTGGCAAGCCACAGGCTTTGCCTCAGGACCCTACTCCAGAAAGTCAACCCTGAGTGTTGTGTCCAACCTGGGCTCCCTCCACATGTGCTATCAGGAGCCTGCCACCTGCTGCCCTCCATCAGGCAGAAACATACCAAGGGAGGCCAAGATGTCCACAGTGCGCATGGCTGGCTGGATGTAGAACCAGAGCTTCTGCAGTGACAACAGGCCCTGCCTGTGGAGCTGCTCCAGCTGAGTGATCAGAATAAGGTACTCCTTTACCAGGGTTCTCATGGCAGCTGCCAGGGCATGGTTCACCTGCCCATATTCAAAGGAAGATTTTTCTTCAATGAACCTACAGGGAAAATGCATCAAGCATCCTTGAAAAGGCAAAACTCACATTTTCAGATCTTCTAAGTCTTTCCTCATCCAGGAAGCAAATGACACTCAAGCCCTCACCCCCAAAGGAACCTGTCCCAAGAGGGAGAAGGCCAGGTGGTGATTCTCAGACCCTTGCAACATGCCAGGAGCAAGCCAGGGAGGAGGTGTTTCTGCAGCAAACAGGCCTGACCTCCTTCCCATGTTGCAAACTCTCAAGCCCAGCCCACCTGGTCACGGTGGAGTAGCTGGCGGCCACAGGGAGGATTCTGTTCACCAGCTCCCGGATGGACAGGTCCAGGTTGGGGTCCACAAGGAAAGTGCGGTTCTGTCTCCCAGCCAGGGGCTGGGCAGTGATGTACCTGCCATCAACACCCACCAGCACATAGAGCAGGTCCTCTACCACAGCTGACTCCTGGGAGGCCAATGGCAGCGTGCCTGCAGGACACAGACATGCTGGGAGCCCAGCCTCCCCAAAGACCAGTCACTCTTGCCTCCCCTTCTTGGTAACCCCCCACACACTGATGGACACAATCAGCAAGCCACTACCCTAGCCTGGACAGGTCCCCCTGTAGCACCACGGGCAGTAGCAGGAAATATGCCTGGACACTGCAGGGCCCTCCTCAGGCCAAGCAAATGAAAACTTATGCTAGACCAAGCCCAGTGACATACTCCTTAATCCCAGAAGCTTTGGAGGCTGAGGCAGGAGGATCACAATTTTAAAGACAGCCTTAGTAACTTGGCAAGGCCCTAAGCAACTTAGCAAGACCCTGTCTCAAAATAAGAAAATAAAAAGGGCTAGGGATGTGGCTCAGTGGTAAAATGTTCCTGAGTTCAATCCCTGGTATGAAAAAGATAATGAAATCCTATGCAGTATTAGCTGCCTGTCACTTAGCAAGGGGAGCTCAGAGATCCTGGGCAGCCAGGTAAGCAGCCTCTACAGTCACAACTGAGAAGCCCAGGCTGTGCAGAGACAAGAAAGGCCTTTAAGACAATATCTTCTTGAATTCCAAGAAACTAGCTGTTTCGAACACAGGACAAGATGGTGCAGGCACAGTGAGGTTTCCCTATGACCATTCAAGGGACCTGTAAGGATAGTCAGAGGTCACCTACTGAGGCTACCCACCAGCATCTCCTGCCATCCCGAGATGCCTGCCAGTGCCTGCAGCACCTGAGGCAGCTCAGGAAGATGTTGAATGACAAACTTTGGTTTGACAATATTTCTGTTAGCCCTGCACACTGCTGTGCAAGGCAGTGTCCCATGACCACAAGATAGATACAAAAATCAGGGTGCAAATGTGATCTGTGATCATTCCCCAGCAATGCCAGACACAAGTTAGACCCACAATCTCAAGTCCCACTTCTCTCCGTTGCACCCTCAGCAGAGGATGGTGGCCCAAGGCCTCACCAACTCCTTGACATGGAGTGACAAGATTCAAGGCACTGGAAAGATCTGTACACAGGGCACCGGTGGGTGGTGACAGCATGATGTGGCAAGGCCAGTCGGTTCCAGAACAGCCACAAGTGGGGTGTCCTGAGAGTATGGGGGCCCAGGTCCCTAAGGCCTGCCCACAGCTGCACAGGCTTCCTTCAAGCCACTCACCAACATACCCAGGGTCAGTGTGTAGTGTCCCTGTCACATAATATCTCCCTCCTTTGTGCAGCCCTTTCCAGAATGGGGAAATACATTTTCTTATAAGATGCCCTACAGGTTCTAAAACCACCTCTCATGCTCCTTGCCAGCACAGACAGCAGACTTCAGGTCTCACGCCTTCTTCTCTGCCTCTCCAGGGCTGTCCAGGATTCCAGTTAGGTTCTTGTGGGGTCTGGAATCTTATTTGTTAATTGCTTCATAATTTTGCAAGAACTGTGCCACTCCAGAGTCTAGGCCACAGCAAGAACTTCCTGACTCTCCAGTGGACAGCTCCTGGTTCTGCCCATGAGTCTGCCCGCCCTGTGTTGAGGCCACTCAATAGGACCCCAGCTGAATTTCGGCTGTGCGTTGTCAGCTTAAGTTACAACTGAAAAGACACACGCAGGTAGATCATTTTCTATACCTTGTCACTGACTTGCAACAGGATCACATTTGCCTGAGGACAGGAGAAAAGTGCTGGACTTCACCCACCATCCTGTGCAGGCAAGAGCGATTTCCCACTGACACCGCATGGAGCCAGGTGTGCCACTCCACACTTTCTCTTGATCCAACTGTGAGCCAATGAGCAGGATGCTACAGCTATGCTACATCCTTGATTTGCAGCCTCGTTTCTCAGTCCATAAAAAGGACTTACGAAATGCTGCAAAAAACCTGTGGTGTGCCAGTACACAAGTCCCAGATCCCCAACGGCCTGTCCTGAAACAACCACACCATGTACCAGACACACAACTTTCAAGGCCTTGGAGACAACAGTGCTAACTCAAGCACCACTGCAGAACCCAAGGTCATTACAAACCACTCTCCCGTGGTCTGTGCCAGACACCAGGACACACACTTGGGAGGAGCCAGCTGCAGCCTGCCCCACAGTTCTAGTGAGAGGGCACAAGATGAGCCAGGTGAAGACCCCAGCAAGTCAGTGTCTGCTGTGGGCAGGGACAGAATGTGGAGCATGGCCAGCCTGTCCACAACAGCATGCGAGAACAGGCATGTCACCTGTGGTCTCCTTCCCTGCCCAGCATCACCGTGCAAGCAACTCATCGTGAAATCCCCGGGTGTCAGACGGTGAAGACATGACATACCTATGGGTAAAGCCACATCTGAGCTCAAGCTGGAGCCAGTTAGGAAATCCCCGACCAGAGTTGGTCTCTCATACACCCAAGCTGGGAAGACGGGGAGCTGCTGGCCTGAATTTTTTTTGTTTTGCTTGTCTCGAAGCATCTTTCTTGTAAGTTCCAGAGACTAACAAAAACATTTTAAAAACAAAAACAGAAGATACACATCAGTGCAATGAGAACCAAGACATTTGTGGAAATGACCCATCTGTGGCAGAGAAAGAACAAACTTACACACAAAGCTTAATTATGTGGAAACGAGATATATTTCCACCTGCCACTCATGATGCAAAGGCTGGGGAGCAAGAGGTGGAAAGACCCAGTCCTCTCCCCAGGCCTTGGCCGAGGCTGAAGCACCAGCAATGGGAGCTTGGGGAGCCTGTGTTTCAGACCAGAACCCTCTGCACAGGAAGAACCCAAGTCACTTTTTCCTGGAAGTTAAATCTAACAGGACTTGCTGGACAAAGAGGCACCAGCAAAGGGCATGCTGGGGAAGGCCCCAGGACAGATCTAGAGGCAGTATCAAGGTCAACCCTCCCAGAGGACTGGACACCAGAGGGTAGCCAGCTCATATTTGGCCAGCCAGCCTGCAGAAGGACCAACTTGGTTTGTTCCACAACAGGTACTCATGGGGAGAGTAGTGTGAAGGCTGTATGGTCGAGAACATAGGCTCCACACTCGATCGGCAGACATGGCATGCCAACAGCTCAGTTCTGTCCTTAGCACATGTGCTAGGCTATATGACACATGGCAGAATGTGGCTCTAAAGAGTGGTCCGGAGCCACAGAGAAGGGTCTGCATCAGCTATCAAAAACACACCTGAGACTGAGACTCACAAGTACAGACCAGAGCAGGACAAAAGCCAAGAGCAGCAAGCTCAGGAGAAGAAAATCCAGATGACCTACGAACACAACAGCATCAGAGCCACCGTAGGCAGACACATGATGACTGAGAGGTGCAGAGTCAGAACCACTATAGGCTTCAGGAGGGAAATCAGAGTGTGACCCATGTCCCATGAGACTGTGGCAGGTGGCCCCCACTAAAATCTTACCACCATTCTTCCCTCTTGTGATATAGAATTCCTGACTGAAGGGCACGCTCAGTCTTAGCCTCTCTAAAGTTGGATTCGTTCTTAATAGACAATAGAGACAAGCCTGCCCAGCTGGCACCCACTGCTGTTGCTACCATGGCACCTAGCAGCCATGGTGGACTTGTACCTGCTGTAGTGTGGAGCCTGTGGTCACACTGCCCAGTTGCTTCCTCAGCTCTTCAAGCTCCTGCATGGACATCTTGGAGGCCGTTGCAGGGCCGCCGAAAGTGGTAGTGCTGGTGACTGCAGCAGTGGCTGCAAGCTCAGCTCTTTCTTTTGCATTCTGCTGCAAATACTGCAGAGTCTGAAAATACGCAAAACTGTGCATTCACATTGGGCCAGCATGTGCCCCCTTGCCTGGCAGAGCAAACCCCATCCTTCCTTCCTAACTCACACACCACTTGTGGAGGGCAGGGGACTCCCATGGCCCAACAGCCACAGTCTGCTCTCCAGAGGATCATGCTACATGGTATCACTTACCATACCTCCCAAATGTCAGAGGAAAGAATCTCACAGCCTTTTTAAAGAGCCAATACCTTCTTGTGCCCCCAAGAACAAGTTCTTCTCTACACATCACCTGTGGTTCCTGGGCAGCAGCAACCACCTCCTCTAGCCTATCCTGGCACTACCGGTCTATGAGCCCCTGGCACACCCCTCCACACAGCAACCTAGCACACCACTCACTGGCTTTGTCACCTTGATGCACGGTACATGTACTAGGCAGGAGCCCAGCACGACACACCGTAAAAAGCAAAAGCCCACCACCGCAGGGTGCTGTGCCAGTTTCTCAGGTCTATGCCCTTGTGAGTTACTATTCATTCTGATTCACCAAGCACACTCCACATGCCCTCAAAGTGTTCCTGGCATGGGATAGGAAAAGTCAGTAAGAGAAGGGACAGGGTGCACAAGAAGAATACAAGAGGTGTGACCTGTATTGGCACAGGGGTCCCATGAGTGACCGTGCTACATAAGACTCCTCCAGACACTCCTCCTGACAGGCCCCGTCAGGTGGAACCGAGGACGCACAGGGCATTTACCTCTTTGTCTTCTGTGAACTTTGACAACAAATACACCAGAGGGTCAAGGTTCCTTGTATTTTTAGACTTCAGCTCATCGTATTTCTTTAGAAAATCTTCAGGAGTACGAGAAAATTCTGCAATTTTGACCTTAAAAACACAACAGCATGAGTGATCTGATGGCAATGAAGCACCTGGAAAAATGTTTAAGAAAATTAAGCACAAGACCGAAAAGAGCTAAATCATATGGGCTGAATACTCATACACCTAGAACTAAGAAAACTGACCTGAACCTTTGATCAAACCTATCCACAATTCCTCTACAGTTTCTCTCACTTTTTGCTTCTTAGACAAGAGCAAATAATAAGCACTTACCCTTTCCTGGTAGCTCACACTTTCATTTCACACCCTGAACTCCAGTCCCCATAGGATTTACTACCATGTATGGCTCTAGGACACATTTCACCCAGTGACTTGTGTGTGCTGACGATGACTACAGAGTCTGCGTGTCTCCCTCCTCCCTACCCTATTAGCTTGTCTAACTATCCTGACTTTTATCCAAATAAGTGAAACTTCACAGTGTGTTTTAAGAAACAGATTCCAAATTTAAAACCATCTTTCACTTAAAATCTTTTTAAATCATGTGTAATGTGACTGAGGAAACACCTTGAAAGATTTCAATGTGTTTAACAGCGGTAACTTTTTACCTATAGGAATGTCCGAGCTTCTGTGAGCCCCTCCCTGGGAAACAGCAGGGTAGTACCTACATCAGGGTTAAAGCCAGCTCACTTGGGCTTCCACTGACTCATCTACACAATGTGAAGTGACAGCAGCTGCTACCAGGAGCCAGGAGAAAGGCAGAGTGGAGCATGTCCTTGGCCCATGGGAAGCACTCAACAAGTACTGTGGCTTCCCTCAGGGGAGCTGCTGTAACTGCCAGAAACAAGTACCTACCCTGACGTGCATGGCCCTGCAGCAAGGACTAGTGCTCACCTTGGCACTGTGGGCAGAGACAGTGGTTGTGACATACGGGGTCCGGTTCTTCTGCAGCAGATCGATGTAGACCTCAGCTCCATCTCCACTGTGGACACGCAACAAGCTGAGCAGCTCATTGACATCATGATGAATCCGAAATTCACTCATGGTTTCAGCTCTGAGGCATCAGCATCACAAGACACACTCTCCTAAAGGAAAGAATAGAGTTATTCATAAAATTAACCTCTATGAAAAAATTAAAAGATCAAATTTGACCAACTTCATGCTTTGACAAAACAGATCACCTGGCCCAGCCCAGGCCCCCCACACCACGATGCCCTCCCCCTCCCCTCCCACCTGTGCAGTCAGTTCTACTTGCCTCCTTTTCCTCAGGGAGCTGAGGCATGCTAGCTGGCCTCACTGCTTTCACCAGTGCTACACCCTTCTGACAACCCAAAGTGCTGCTCTGTCACAAGTTGGGCTTTTAGCACACTCTACCACTCAGGCAGTGCACCAGGCAGGTTGTGTGAATGGCCCTGTGGGCTCTTCTCTCCTGGGAGACTATGTGCACACTTAGCCCTAGGCCAGCAGGAAGTGGCTGTGCTGCTCCCCTTGGCTAATGCACACACAACAGTGTGAGGCACTGGGTTCAATCCTCTGAACCACATAAAAATAAATAGAACTTTTTAGTTGTCCATTTACAACTAAAAAGACTTAAAAAGTAACTATAAATTTCATATGAACAATTCAAAACACCTATGTGTGGGTTCTTAAGTTAGGATGCACAAATAACAAAAGAACCCTTAAAGCTAATAATAATCATTTGTCTGTGAATTTTGTGAGGAAATGGTCTTGCAACAAATTTTTAAAGGTTCTGTGACCCAAAAGGTTAAAAAGTACTGCACCAACAGCTCAGACAGAAACAGCTGTTGAGTCAGACTTCAAGAACAGGAGACCCAGCACACACTCCCACAGCATGCTAATTTTGTAGGGGACATCAACTGGAACTCTAACCTCAGGGTAATGGAAGCTTGTTAAATGAACCTCCAGCACTGGCCAAGGTAAGTGTCTCCAAGAATGAAGGTGAGAGGAGGAGGCCTGAAGTGGCGCCCAAGTCCCCAGCACCTTACTTTCCAATCAAGAGGCGCTCATGTAACCACAGTAATGGAACAGGGCCTCTCTTCCTTGGCACTGCACACAGCTACACAGAAGTCATGCTCCAAGATGAAACATTCCCCCCCAAAGCGGGGTGACCCCCACCTGCAATCCCAGACACTCAGGAGGTTGAGGCACGGGGACCGTAAGCTCAAGCCCTGGCTCAAAACCAAAGGGGTTGGGGATGGAGCAGGTGGTAAAGCGCTCGTGGGTTCAGGCCCCAGCGCCAAGAAAGGAAGAAACAGCGGCGCCGGGAGAGTGAAGGCTCCACGCCGCCGACGAGCGGAGGTCGTCCTCCGACGTTCGTCCCCCTGCGCGGCTGTGGGCTCGGGGGGCAGCACCGCCTGGGACCTCCTCGCCCCGTTACCTGTGGGGGACGGTGGAGGAGCCGGGAGAGGCTGAGCCCGCAGGACAGGCAGGGCCGCCGGGCAGAGTTGGGGAGGCCCCCGCCGTGCGGCCGGCGGAGGCGGTCACAGTGGACCGCCAACTTCCCCGTCCGCTGGCCCAGCTGCGGGGCCGTTCCGAGGCCCGGGAGAGGCGGCCGCATCCTGCCGGTGCAGGCGGGCGGAGAATGCGGCCTGAGGGGCAGGGGCAGAGGGAGGGGCAGGGGCAGAAGCCTCACGAACGAGCCCAGCGCCGACTCACCTCCGCCGCCGCCGCCGTAGCCGCCGCGCGCGCGCGCGGGCCGCCACAGGAAGCGCGGCGACGTCACGTCCGGCTCCGCCTGCGGATGGTGGCCGACGGGCTGCGGCGCCGCCGCGAAGGGCGACACCGCGCAACACCGCGCTGCGCGCCCGCCTGGCCGGCTCGCCCGGGGCGGCTGAGCCGCTGCCAGTGGAGAGGGACCCCGCGGCCGGGGCGGCGCCCTTCCGCTTTGTGGCACGCCCGGTGCGCCTCCCGCGGGAGCACGAGCTCTTCGAGGTGCGGGGGCGCGGGAGCGCGGGGGCGGGGCCTGACGCTGGGGCGGGCCCCGGCCTTAACCTCGGCGCTTGTCTCCTGTAGGACGGGGACGTGCAGAGGCATCTCTACCTGCAGGATGTGCTCACGCAGGTGGCCGAGGAGCCGGAGAGGTCCAGGTGAGCGGCTCCGCCCGCGCCCGGTCCCCCGCACCGCCTCGTGCAGCGGAGGGCTCAGATCCCTCCACAGAGACCCTCGGTGCCAGCGTTGGCACGTCTGGTGACTGGCTTCTACTCCGTCTGTGGCCTGTTTAGGGGAATTTCATGTTTTAATAAGAAAGGCTTGGAGTGTGGCGCGGTGGCGCACTTCTCTAATCCCAGCGTTCAAGGCCAGCCTGGGTCATGTAGCAAGACCCCGTCTCAGTATAAAAATGAAAAGGGCTAGGGTTGTATGTATCTCAGTGGTAGAGCACCCTGAGTTCAGTTCCCAGGACCAAAAGAACCTCAGGAGCTTTATTGGGCCTCTTACTCTGGATGAAAAGTCACACTGGGGTTTCTGCTTCAGCAAAGTGTGCCTCCTCCGTTGAGATTAGCCTCCTTTCCCAGGGTGCCTGAGTTCACCTGTCAGGTGCCCGGCTGCTGCCAGGTGTTCGCTGCCCTGGAGGACTACCAGCACCATTACAACATGCTACACGGGAATGCCTGCTCCCTCTGCAGCCGCGCCTTCCCCTCCGGACACCTGCTGGATGCCCACATTCTGGAGTGGCATGACTCTCTCTTCCAGATCCTGGCGGAGAGGCAGGACATGGTGGGTAATTAATCAGGCTGGGCACACGTTGTGCTAGGGACTTGGATCAGGGAGGTGACACCCTATCTTTTGCAGTACCAGTGCTTGATTGAAGGTTGCCCAGAGAAGTTTAAGACCAGCCGAGACCGGAAGGATCACATGGTGAGGTTCCACCTGTACCCCGCGGATTTCCGGTTTGATAAGCCCAAGACAAGCAGAGGGTACGTGAGGAGTAGGGTTGTTGGCCACCCCTGGTCTTAGGAGATGTGAGAGCAGCTTGAATGGGTGGAGGCTTTTTTTTGTTTGTGTATACCTGCAGGTAGCTGACATTCTGACCATGGGGATCAGTACTCAAAGGGGTTACACAAATAGGGTAGCTTCCCCTCAGAGGGAAATGGCAGAGGAGTTCCTGGCCAGGAGTAGCAAAACAGGGATGTAGCAATGGCAGGCACTCCTTTCCCATACTTGCACCTGGGCTGAATTCCACATGCCCTAGTTTTCAGAGTTAGGAAGCTGCCAGCAGAGGCCTATAGAGTTCATCCAAAGCCATGAGCATCCTCCCCCTTGGTAGGCTTATACTATGTGGCACCATAAAAACAGTATATTTGAAAGAAAGAGTATGATCATATTTAAATATATAAAATACAGGGCATATTATGTGAACTGTGACCTTGCCATAAGCATTCACCCTTTTTTTTTTTTTTTGATAGCCTGGAAATTGCACTGTAAAATTAGACTATGCCAACAGAGTAAGAATATCTTTGCAAAAAAAAAAAAGAGTCCTTTGCTTGAAAGTTTATTTCTGGGGGAAGCCAGGGCTGTGGGAGTTATGCTGAGCCGTGGCTGACACTCTGTCTTCTGCAGCCCAGCCACTCGGGGGTCTGATGCTGACCTGTCAACTGCTGCCCTTGGGGATGAAGGGGATGCAATGGAAGTCTGCTCCGAGCCTGCAGCAGCACCCCCAGCACCTGTAGGTGAGAAGCGGACCTACATCCACAGGTCAGTGTGGACATCTTCTTGAGACAGTAACACTGGGCAAGTGTTGGCCTCATGAGGTTGAAAACCAGAACATTCTGGTGTGTTCTGCACCATGAAGTCCAGGAATGCAAACTACCCTTTTAACTTCCCTCAGTCCATGGGGGGCCTTCACTTGTAATTGTTCCAGTCACAATCTGGCAGACTTGTTTTCTAGTATGGAGTTAAAACTGACTTGGAATCTGGTTTTGGGGAAAATGTTAACCATGGAAAAAAAATCGCTGAAGACTCTGAACTGGCTGGAAGATGGATGTGTTTCCCTCATCTGCCTTCTCACCTTTGCCTAGACTGGCCTGTGAGTGGCCCAGACGGTAGAGGAGGTCAGGTTTCAGGGGATGGTAGATAACGGGACATGGGCACCACAGAAAGCTGGGCCACAGCTGAGATCTCAATGAGTGCCCATTGACTGCGAATGTCTTCCACAGGAAGCAGATCTGACTCCGGGAGCTGCCTCAGGGCCCAGGAGGGCAGACTCCACTTCCTGGCTGTTGCACAGAGTGAGAGAGGGAACATTCTAGAATAAGGAGGAATAAAGAATCACACACAAGGCTGCTATTATGAGTTGGGTTGCTTGTTGGCAAAGGAAGTGCCATCACTTGATGTGAACTGTTTTCCATTCCAGAGTGCCTTCTACCATCTGTTTTGGCCAAGGTGCATCTCGAGGGTTTAAAAGCACCCAGAAGAGAAACAAACACCACTGACAGATCCAGATGGGAGAAAGAACCAGGCATCTGTGTGGACAGTGCAGGAATGGGGCTCCTGCAGGGGCTGGTGGCCCTCGGGCCTCTCTCACACTTGTCATGTGGGCACCCTGGGGCTGGGCCTTTGCTTCCCTCCTTGTCTGGGTCCCTGGGTAAGTTACCAGAAGCGGCAGGGGACTTAAAGCTTCCAGAGATGACTGGGACAAACAGCAGGCTCAGGAGACAGCTCACCTCTTTCTGCAGGGACCACTCTAGGGACATTCTTTTTAAGCACATGAAATAAATATTTTTCACCAAATTCTTTACTCTTATTTCTGTGTTGTTGAACTTATCAACTAAGAGTATTGCACTGTGAGGATTCACTGTTCAGAGAGATTTATGAGGAGCCCCTGAGAGTTGGTGAGTAGGTCAGGTACAGCAATCCCTGAGTCCTTATCTTCAAGGCCTTGAGAAGGACACCCAGATGGTCTTTGTGCCCCACCCACCCAGGAAGCTCCTCTGGGACACAGTGTTGGAGAAGGGGTGCAGCAGGAAGGCACACAGGCCTGTCAAGCAGGAGAGAACTCGGCCAGGGGTGGAAAAGGCAGCTCAGGAGGTCAGAACAGGTGGGGAAGCACAGACAGGCAGGCAGTAGCATGTCCTGGAGAAATATGATTATCCTGGGCTCCAGGGCCAGGCCTGGCAGAGGCCCATCCCCACTGCCAGGCATCTGGGTGCTTCTGTGCCAGAGGTGCTAGCACAACAAGCCCTTCCCTGCCTCACCTCACCACCTGCTGTTTTTCTGGACTTGGAGCCTGACCAGAAGCAGCTGGTGGTCACTTGTGACTCCTGGTACAGAGGTGCAGCCAGGCTCATAGCTCTCAGAGGGAATCTTGAGGATGACCTCAAATTCAGAAAACATTCCACTGGCATTCAGGCACTAAGGCAGGTGCAAGTGCTCAAGGGAGAACAGCTTGAGTGCAGTCCTGGTGTGCAGGGAGGAAACCCAGTGTCCACTGTTGGGGTAGGAAGTGAGCATCCCCTGGGGGCAGATGTGGCCACTTGAGAAAACAGAATGCAAACCATCTCCCAACTCCCGGTGGGAGGCCTTGTCTCAGTGTGTCCACTATCCTGCTGTCCTCCTTGTATGCTAGTGCTGACCAGTGTTCTCCACAGTGATGGGATTGATCCTTTCCACAGCAGCACATTCTGCCAGACCTATGTTGTCTGCAGTTTGGGTCACCAGGAGTGTGTTGCAGCCTTTGAGGACTGTCCATGCTGGGATCCTCTCCGGGATTCCTCCCTCACCAGAAAGCTATCTGTTTTTCCTGTCTCTGTTTTTCTCTTGACAAATATGGAATGCAGAACTGATGGGAAGAAGACTCCAGCATTGCGGTGAGGTCCAGGTGAGCCGCTCAGTCTCTGGGGAGACCTCCTCTCCCTGCTGCAGAGTCCCGGTGGGTTCAAGTCCAGCTGTCAAACAGAAGCACTTTCCAGAAAGAGGTCACTTGCAGGCTTCAGGATGGAATGTGCATCAGTGCTGTTTGTGGTGGAAAACTGGTTTGCCACGCTTGGGTTTCGGTGACGTGTCTGTGTTTTCTTGCTGGGGGATCAGGACCTGCTGGGGTGATGTTTCTTTCTAATTAGTGTGTGGAGCCTTGGTCTTCTCTTTGCTTTTACATGGAAAGCACCTTTCACATGGGAAACACCTTGGCCCCTAGTCAGGTGTGGCAGCCATCCTCAATCCTGTGGTGCACAGTCTGCTTAGGCTCTTGGCTTCACTTTTTCTTTCCTTTTTATACCTTTTTTTTTTTTTTTTTTAGAGAGAGAAAGAGAGAGAGAGAGAGAATTTTTTAATATTTATTTTTTAGTTTTCGGCGGACACAACATCTTTGTTTGTATGTGGTGCTGAGGATCGAACCCGGGTCGCACACATGCCAGGCGAGCGTGCTACCACTTGAGCCACATCCCCAGCCCCTTTTTATACCTTATTTTGGACAGAATGTGCTTTTTCTCCCTCTGGGGAGTTAGGCACCTTCTAGCTAATTATCTTAGTAGATGCCCTGACATTTTTAACATAAACTCTGTTGGGCTCCAAGATTAATTGACATCTTGTTTCCCCCAAAAGTCAGGGACTGTGGACACTAAACCCAGTCCCAGCTCTCTGCTCACGCTTTGTCACAGACATTTCATTTCTAGATCCTTTTGCTAATCCCGTGGCATGACACTCCCATGGCTCGGGGCCAACGTGCAGTGAATCTGCCATAGTGGCCGCTCCTGGCTAAGCAGTCCTTGCCTCTCCCAGCTTACAAGGATCATTCTCTTCATTGCCTTAAGCAACCCAGGAGTCTCCTTTAGTGAATCTGTGCTTGTACAGTTTTCATTCTGTTTGCCTGAAAATGCTTCTCTATCCTTGTCTTGTTGCTGGGAACAGCAGACCTGGTGCCTCCCCTGAGCCTGCTAGGCGGCTGCCCCTGCCTTCAGAGCTGCTGACAAGGCAGCCAGGTGTGCTGGGGACTCCCTGTCCCCTGAGGGTCCTCTCCAGCTACTCTCAGGACCTTCTTTGGTCTTTGGTATTCCACTGTTCTATCACCCAGTTGGGAGAAGGTATCCTTCTTCCCTGCCTGCCTGCTGTTCTCTGCCTTCAAGCTTAGAGTCTAACATCTTCAGATGCTGCCTATGCCCAGGCTCCCTCCCTTCTCCTGAAAGCACTGAAGTGAATGTCAGATTCTGTCATCTGCTTCCAGACCTTCTGTGTTCTATGCTGCGTGCTGGTGCCTGGAGTCTCGTCGGACCTGCTTTCGTTTTCTCTCCTTTGTATCACGTGCTGCTAAACTCCATGTCTAATTCTATAAATAGGACAGTCAACTAGAGAAGCTCTAGGCTGTCTTCCTATGTTGCTGGATTTCTGTAGTTTTGCTTATCACAGTTCAACCCATTCTTTCAATTGTTGGATTAGTTTGTGGGGAATTTATGTCCAAGGCATCATTGGAAAACATGGAGCAATCTGTGGGCACTTAGCAGGCTGGGCTAGCAAAGTCCCACTGCCTCAGGACGCCAGAGGCTGAAGACATCTGAGAAGAGCTGCCGTCACTAAAACCAGATCCAGGGCTGGGAATGTGGCTCAGGCGGTAGCGCGCTTGTCTGGCATGAGTGCGGCCCAGGTTCGATCCTCAGCACCACATACCAACAAAGATGTTGTGTGCGCCGAGAACTAAAAAATAAAATATTAAAAATTCTCTCTCTCTCCTCTCTCACTCTCTCTAAAAAAATAAATAAATAAATAAAACCAGATCCAGTGCCAGTGAGGAATAAGCAAGCAGAAGCATTAGCAAGATGCTATGATGTTACCTACAATGTTCAACTCACAACAGCAAAAAATACAAACCATGCAAATAAAGAGGACACATGACTCATATCCCTAGGAGACAGGCAACTCCAACAGCCATCCCAGAAGTGTTTGCAGAACTGAGGGGAGCATGATGACATCTCACAAACAGGGTTTCAAAGAAGAGAGACACAAGTCTTTCAAAGAACCAAGTGGAAATTCTGGAGTTGAAAGTACAATGCCCCAAATTATAAAAATTCATCGGAGCAGTTCAACAGTAGAGCTGAACTGGCAGAAGAAAAGAGTAAGGAAACTTGATGACACCAACCAAGAAAAGAGAAAATGAAGAACCTGGGGAGAGCATGAGGGAGGCGGGGCACCTCTGGCACCCACAGAACCTCGGGAGGAGAGGAGAGAGCAGCAGAACAGTGTGTCCGAAGAACTGCTGAGAATGGCCACATTTTTTGAAAAGCACACCATCATTTAGGAAGTTCAATGAATTCCAAGTAGGATAATGAATACAAAAAGAGCCATAGACAAGTCATACTTAAAGTGCTGAAAGTCAAAGATAAGGAATTCAACTTCAGTAGCAAAAGACTTGTTGCTACAGGATTCAAAGTGGCTGCTTTCAGAAACAATGGGGCTCCCAGGGCAACTTGGCCAAAGGCCTAAGGAGCTGTCAGAACCCTCTACTGACAATCAGAATGCAAGGGGGCATCATCCCACCTATGGAAGGGTCAAAAGAGAGCTATGAACAATCAGAACAGTTGCAGGGACAAGTTCTAGACATAGGATCACCAGCAGCCAAGAAGAAGCAGGGGGTAGAGTAGAACCACAACATGAAAAAGCTAAATCAGAAGCAACAAAGATCCCAAGAGAGAAGACTCAGGGCCAAACCATCTATCACTAACGCTGGTCTTCACTGTCTAACTTGCTGGGTGATTTTTTCCCCTTGGTGGTCCAATCAGTGAGAGTATGGCATGTTATATGGACCATCAGAAATAGCCAGAACTTAGGCTGCGGTTGTGGCTCAGAGGTAGAGTGCTCGCCTAGCACGGGTAGACCTGGGTTCGATCCTCAGCACCACATAAAAAATAAAGGCATTGTGTTGTGTCCATCTATACCCAAAAAATAAATATTAAAAAAAAAAAGAAAGAAATAGCCAAAACTTAGGCTGGAGTTGTGGCTCAGAGGTGGAGCGCTTGCCTAGCATATGTGAGGCACTAGGTTTGATTCTCAGCACCACATTAAAAAGATAAATAAATAAAGGTATTGTATCCACCTACAACTATAAAATGAATGTTAAAAAAAGAAAGAAAGAAATAGTGAAACTGCCAATTTAGGCAACAGTTTTAAAAACTGAAAACAAAAGTACACACCTGAGTCCCTCTGGACTCAGGAAAACAGCGCAGTCCACTTACTCATAAACGCTTCCTGAGGGCGTGCACGGGACTGAGAGCTGGGGACACTGGGCCCACGAAGACAAGCAGGAGAGCAGATGGCCTGTCCCCAGCGCCGGGCTCTTGGGGTCAGCCCAAGTGGAAATGGTATTGCTCTCCACACGCCTGCTGCTGCACCTCCACAGTTCACTGGAAGCATTTCTCGGGTAGAATAGCATGTCCTGGCAGGGGTGGCAAATGCCAGTCCTACTACCCAGCTGGAGAATGCATCACCTTTTCAAAACTCCCGCAAGGAGGCCCTTAGCTCCAGATCTTCACTGTCATTCAAGATCTGCTGGTCAGATTTCACAAATTCCTTCCCCAGAACCAGTGCAAGACGTCCTGACCAGGCCTATTCCTCCTAGTGGTCCCCAAGCACAGCATAGTGGCCTCCAGTCCATGCCCAGGGTGGGGCCAAGAGCAGCCCCCATAGACCCAGAGGGGTAAGGCTGGTGCTGCTGGCTGGCGGAGGCTCTAAGGGCTGACCCTACTAGGATGAGGCCCAGAGGGGTCAGCCCCTTTCACACCCAGAAGCTGGTGGGCCTTCGAGCCAGCCCTGCTATACTCCTATCTTCTGGTGATGAAGTCCCTACGTTGGGAGCCTCAGGGTTATTCTGCAGGCCCCATGAGTTCCCTTTCCCAGGAGAGCAGGTGGCCCTGTCTCGGGCATCAGACCCGCAGTCTTTTCATGTCACTCAATGAGACATCTGGGATGGTGGGGCTCAGTGGGCGGGTCACTAGGGCATTTCACAGACCAGCCCTCTACACTTTGACCCTGCCAGAGGCCACCAACAGTCCAGGCCATTCTACCATGTGTCCACTCCTTATTCCTGAACCACACAGCCACCCTGCACTCCCAAAGAAGTATGTCCTACCCTGTAAGATTGCTCCGGGCCACCTTGTCAGGTGATCATCTTGCCAGAACACAAACTCCTAAGGACAGGGCAATGTCCCCAACCCCAACAGGAGTTGCCCAGCACGGACAGCTGAAAGGGCACAGACTGGCGGGCAGGACTCTGGGGTTCAAGGCATCTGTCTATAGATGGCCCACCCGCTACCTGCAGGGACACAATGGGTGACTATTCTGCCACCAGTTCCGGGCCACCTCTGACTTTGAGACACACTAGCTGAGTTCAGGGGGTGGCCAGCAGGTGTGTACAGCTCCAGGTTAGCCTAGGGTTTGCAGGGCCTCTAATCCTGGGAGAAGGCTTCTAGCCCACATCCTCTCTCCAGGAGAAAGTCTCAGTCTTGGTAAGTTCACCTTAGTCTTTTCACAAGCAAAAGGGCTGGACAGCAACAAGGGCATATGCATGTCCTGCCCTCCAGCCCCAGAGATGAACTCACCCTGGAGAGGTCTGGGCACCAAGAGGACTTGGGCAGATGTTTGGGGTCAGAAATGGTTTCAGAGAGATGAGTGCTATGGCACATGCCAGCTTGGGAGGCAAAGGCAGGAGGATCGTGAGTTCAAAGCCAGCCTCAGCAAAAGCAAGGAGCTAAGCAACACAGTGAGACCCTGTCAAAGTACAAAATAGGGCTGGGGATGTAGCTCAGTGGTTGAGTGCCCCTGAGTGCAATCCCTGGTACCCCTGCCTATCTCCAAAAAAAGAATTGGTTACAGAAGGATAAATAAGCTAGCTCATCACTCTCAGTTCAGCAGATCTGCATCAGCTCTGGGCTGCCTGGCACTCTCCAGGGCCCTGTAGGGTGGTTTATATGCCCTTGGCCAGTGCACAGATGCCCACAAGGTGGCTAAGTTGCTGTGCGGACCCCAACTCCACTGGAATGGGCCCTGGATGCTTGTTTTCCTCATGAGTAGCTTTCAGGATTACTCAGAAATCCCTAAAACTGAACCATAAAACTTGGTCCTGGCTGGCCCTATGCCACTCAGAGACCTAAGATTTGGAAAGAGAATACAAGGGCCTTGAGAAGCAGCAGCCTGGTGCAGCCCATGGGGGACATTGGCTGCTGAAGACCTATCCCAACCCCGGTTCCTTTGCTCTGTACATTTAGAGACCACGGGAGGGTCGGCCACTTGAAAATTTGGGCTTCAGTTTAAATAGTTCAGGCCCCAGGGCGGGTGGACAAGCACAGGCACCTGAGAAGGGCAGGCACCTTCCCTTTCTCCAGCCTGGTCTCCAAGAACTGGGATCATTCCTCATTAAACCCATGATGAGTTCCCATTTTCTCAGAGACACAGGAAGAGTGTCTAATGGACACCACAGGGAATTTCACGCAATATTATCTTTATAACTTCCAGGTGTTTGAATTGAAGCAGAAACACCCATGAAGTCTGTAGGACTGTGGTGTTTCTCCTAGGCTGCAGTCCTGATGAGCAGAGTTGATCCTTCCCCTCCTGCAGTCTGATTCACCTGATCCGCAGGACCCAGCCCAGTGCCATCAGCAGAGGCCTGTGGGGAGAGGGGATTCCCCATGGTCTAGGCCCACTGCACCCTTGGCCATCCAGTCCTGTCTTCAGCTGCAAGTCAGGACAGGGTTGGGGGGTGGGGACTTCCCACTACTCCTGCTGTGACTCCAGGGAATCAGCAAGCTCAGCTTAACCCTCCAGTCTGTGGCTGCAGTTTACAAAGAAACCAGCTGTGGGTTTTCCAGAGTCTCTGCTGTGTGGCAGGGCTGGTGGACCTACTGGGGTAGCTCCTCAGAGCGGGTCAGATTGTTCATCTTTTCATGTAAAGAGAGCTGTGCCCGCCTCATCAAGGAGCGCAGTGCCTTGCAAACAAAAGGTGACCAGCGGGGACCTGGGGACCTGGCCTCCACGGTGCTAGAACAAGGCCTTTTGGATCCACCCATGCCCCCATCCACCATCACAAGGAGTTCTTCCTCTTCCCTGCAAGCGGTGGGGGGATGGGGCACAGCTTGGCCTGGGTTTTGGAGCAGCCTAGCAGCAGCATCCTGCCCAGCGCTTGTCCTCCAGGCATGTCCCCAAGCCCAGCAGGCCCACTCGCCCTGCGCCCCCCCATTGCTGTCCCTGGCACCACTAACGTGCCCATGCTCCCACCACAGCGGGTGATCAGCTTCAAGCTCCCTGAACCAATTACAAATTGCCTGAAGTAAGTGCAAAAGTTTCCATCCATAATGACGAGAGAATCTAATTAGAGTGTCAGTATTTGTTTCCAGTAGTCCTGGCATCAAACTATTTTAATTTCTTTGAGAAGTAGTTCCTTGGTGTGTCCCAGAATAATCCTGCAACTGGACAAGGCTACCTGGAGGAAACTGGGCTTCAGAGCCAGAGGTGGGTCCACGGAGCAAGCCTCAGAGTACTTTGGCAGCTGCTTTATTCCAAGTAGGAAGATCTATTTTGGTCCATTTTGAGGGTACAGAATAAAGTCCATTACCTTTCAGCAAACAGTTTAGTACTAACATGATTCTTAGAAACTTGAAATCTTTGTAAGATACCCACAAATAGGCTTCAGGCATTCAATATAACATCGTATTAGCAACAAAACCGAAAAACTAAACAACAGCAACAAAAAAGGCGACACCGAAATGCGGAGGGTACCAGGAACAGGGACTCAGCGCAGGCCAGTCTTCCGTGGACTGTGGCACAGGCGGAGCCGGACTGGCCGTGTCCCTCCTGCTAGGCGGCTCCGGGTCGGATTCTCACACCCACGCCTAAGTCAGGTAGTACACGCTGTAGGCCGTGGCTGGCCCTGCGAGGAGCCCAGACACCTGGGGAAGGGCTCCTGCGGGGCCACCGAATGCGCCCGAGCCATGCAGCGGGGCGCCCAGAGGGAAGGGCAGGGCGAACGAGGGCAGCGGCGGCTTGGCCGCCAGCTTCAGCTTCTCCAGCTCAGCCTCCTGCAGCCGCTTGGCCTTAGCCCTACGGTTCTGAAACCAGATCTTCACCTGCGTGTCGCTGAGGCTCAGGCTGCTGGAGAACTCGGCGCGCTCAGCGACGGACAAGTACTGTTTGTGGTGGAACTTGCGCTCCAGCGCCAGCAGCTGCGAGGCAGTGAAGGGCGTCCGCGGCTTGCGGTTGTTCTTGTGTTTTCGGAGGATGCAGGGTGCGGGGCCGGGGGTTCCTGAAAGGAAAGAGAAGTATAAAAAGGGCCCACAAAGCTGGCGCTAGGTCATTGTCCTGACACTGCCAGACCCCTGCAAAGGCCGGTTGTTGGCGCAAGTTCCCATTCATGACTGGGCCCTTGGAGCCACGAGACCCCAAAGGCAGCTGCGGCAAGCGAAGGAAGGGCGGGGAAGCGGCGGGGCAAAGGTGGCTCCCTGTGGATTCGGGCTTTGCTCTTCAACCCACAGCCCCTCACCCCAGGGAAGATTAGGACTCTATCCACTTGGAAAAAGCGGGAGGCTCGGACTGGAGATCGTGGCCGGAAATGAGTGGGGTGAGCGTAGAGTCCAGGACTCCAAGCCAACTTTAGCCATCTCAGGAAGGCCTGGGGCCGACAGGGAGTGCTTCAGTAGGAGAGTCCTGAAGCGGAAAAGCCTTGGGTTGTGGACAGGACAGAAGCCTGCCTGGAGTGGGATGCAGGAGTAGCTGCTGGGCCTGGACGCGCTGCAGGGCTCCGGTGGGCAATTTTCTTTCTTTGCGCTTAGGCTGGGCGTGTTTGTGGCTGTTACTTTGTAAGTTATGAGCGACAGCGCCCTTTCCGCCCTGGTTTTCATCCAGGCTGGTCGGGCGCTGCTCAGGACCCGGGACCGCGAGGCTGGGCACTTACGTAGGGGGCACGCAAGGGCAGCAGGCGGGACCCAGGCCCGGGTCTCTGCGGCGCCTAGCGGCCTCTCCTCCCCTGGCTCTGTGGGCTCGGAGTCCGGCCCGCGCTCTGCCTCCAGCAGCGACTCGACGCTGAAGGGCAGGGGACCTGAGCCCGCGCCGCCCCCACCGCGTGCCCTGAGCGCAGCGGTGTTCATCCCGAGCGACATGGGTGCCATGCATGGGACAGTGGGTGCGGGGAATGTCGCACAGTGCGCGCGGGACGCAGGAGCAGCTTGCCTCACCACTGCCCGGGGCTCCGCGGCGCCCCCGCCCTCTGTACCCTATAAAAAGGTGGTGCCGCTTTCATGAGCCGCTGTCCAATCGTCGCGGCAGCTGATATGCGGCTCTCGGCGCGGGTTGGCTTTGCTAAAGAGCAGGCGGGAAAAACAGGGAGGGGCAGGGCCGCTGCCTGGGACCTCTGAGCCCCGGCCCAGAAGCGCTAGGCTACACTGGTGCGGAACTCGCCGCGCTGGATGAACTCTGTCAGAGATTTGCCCGCGCTTCTCCTGCCCAGAAGGCTGCGGGGACGCTTCTGCAACGCTTTGAGCTGTACCCAGTCCCCCTGAGCTGAGGAACCAACAACGGGCGCGGCGGCATGGTGGAGCTGCGGCCTGGGCACGGGCCCGTGTCCTTGCGCGGATTCGGGGCGCTATATACTGCGCCTCTGGCAGTCCTTGTGTGGCTCCGGGGATGCTCTTCCCAAACGTCCCAGCCCTCGGGAGCAGAACTATCGTCGTGTGCCTGCTTCGACCATGGCTCTCTCTGCATCCTGGGGGTCGCATGGGACGAACACTGCTCTCGAACTGGTGACTCTGCTTCTGTTTCTTTGGAGCCGCGCCCTGGGGTCCAGGCTCTGAGCGGCTCCTTCGGCTCCTGGATCCGCCAAGCACACTCTCGGGGAGTTGCTGCCCCTAGGCTTGCCTGTGCGTCCCAGGGACGGCAGGGCGCATTGCAGGGCTATGGGCACAGACCACCGGGACGTGAAAGGGTAGAATGCGCACTGGCCTCAGATGCCGGCTTGCAAGGTTTGACGCCCGGGGCTGCTAGGAGCGAGAGAGTTCACCGCTGGGTTTTCGGCTCACTGTCCGCCTGTCCCGCTCTGCATTGCAGATAGTTTTGGCTGACCTGCGATAAGGCCTCCAGAGAGGGTGTCTGGTGGGTGGGAACAGCCAGGGTCACTCCTTGAGGCTTCGGAGGAGGAACCTAGTGGGGACTGCATCCCAGCTCTGCAAGAAAGGAGGCTTGGCCTGATACAGACTGTGCACCTCTGGGTTCCTTTTCCCAAACTAGACTGAGCTTCAGGTTTAAAGAGCTCCTGTGCTGCTTGGAAGCCGGGCTGTTTTAGAATATTTCATAAATTGGTTTGGGATGATGACCTATGTCTGATTAATATCCTAGAATGTAGAAACAACTAAATTAATCTATTTATTTATAAAAAACCAAAGTTGCCTTAGGACCATTCTGGGGCAGTTTAATTGTCCAGCTCACCCAGAGACGTTAGGTTTTTCTTCATGTAGGTGTAGAAAGTCCCAGAAACCCCCAGAGGGCTCCCAGCTGCCTATGTTGCCTGGCAGGGGACAGAGCAGCCCTTCCTGCTCCAGACTCTCCACTGTGATGGAGATGGTCTGAATTCACTGGCGATGCGTGCATCATTGAAGCGCTTTCTCTGAAGGCCTCTCTGGCTTTTTACTAGGCAGCTCACAGGACTGTTCAACCCAGAATTCTAATAAGGACGAGTGCCAGCTGGTCTGGGCCTGCCCCTGCCAGGGGATGCCACCAAGGGGGCCTCTTGGTGGGGAAAGCAGGGGCTTGGCTGGTGTGGCCGCCCGGGTCCACGCTGGCACAAGTGGGCTCAACAGGATTCTCTCCTGCCAACTTGAGGGATGGTGCTTCTTGGCTCCCTCACCTGCCCCCACCTCCCAGTGGGTGTCCATGCTGGCATCTCTCTGGTAGCCCTGCCCTGTGCAGCAAGACTGGCTCCTGCCTGGCTCTGTGGGCTCCAGGTAGGACACAGAGGAGGGAGGGCACCGTGCCCCAGTAGGCATGAAGGCCTAGGTCCAAACATAGGACACTCAGCCCCCTTCAGCCTGGCTGGCAAAGGGCCTGGGTGGGGGGCAGTCCTGGAATGAAATGGGACCCCTTTTCCAACATGGCAGCTTTGGATACAGAAATCCAAGTCCCCTGTATGAAGGATCCTGGACACTGCTCTGGCCACTGGAAGGGACAGCAATGCCCATGGACCCTGGCGTCCCTGAAGTTCACCAGCAGGGCTATGTGTGGACAGATAGGAAATAGCACAGCCCTCGCAGCCAAGGGACCCCTTCCAGGTGTGCTCTAGAATGGAGGCAGACCCTGAGGCTGCCTCGCCCTCTCTGGCTGATGCCTTCCCAGTCTGATGGCACCATTTCCTCCCTGTGTTTGGAGTGCTGATTGCTTAGAGCAGAGGTGAATGCAGACCCGAGTCAGAAGGGTTTTTCTGGAGTAGGGATAGAATTTATGAGGCTGGATTTCATTGTAGGGTTTACTGTCACATTTGGAACTTGGCAGGACTAAAGAGACTGGTTCTTCTCTCAGCTTCGACTGAGACTGCACAGTTTAGGCCTTGCTAGGTTGAGCCAGAAGATCCCATGTGGTGGAGGCCACCCCCCACTGTTACAGAAGGTGACATGGCCCCTCTCAGATAACTGGGTTGGGTTCAGCCGGCCATGCAGACTCTTCCTGCTGTCTGGCTGCCAGTGTGTGGACCTGGTACAGGCAGCTACCTCCCGTGTCTCATACCAGAGCAGAGTCATCCACTCCAGCGTTTTCCAAAGTCTCCCTTCCCAGACACTGGTCTTCAGAGAGCCACAGGGAAAAGCCAAGTTGGAAAACCTCACATCTCTGCCTGATCCTTGTCCTAGTCAGTCATGTGTCAGTTGTGGCCCGAGATGTAGCCCTGTCCTGGGAGGGCAGCTCTCCTCCCCAATAACATTTCTATTGGAACTTTGGCTTTTTCCTTCACAACTTGTTGGAAAATTGTTCCAAATACAAAGTGGTATTTTACCCCGGATTCCAGCCAGAAGAAGACCAGTTTGGGTGAGCTCTGGCAGCTAACAAAGGTGACGCAGAGCAAGTGGGAAAATGAGGCACAGGGGTAAGGACATGAGGCAGGCTTGGGAGGGCTGTGCAGAGCTAGGAGCCTGGTCCTGCACCTCCTAATGATCCACCTTCCTCTCCTGCTCACCACGTCTTGTCCTTCAACACACCCTCCTGGTTACTCTTCACACTCAGGTTAATAACTTTGGCAAACTGCTTGAAGGAGGAGAGTAAAGGAGAAAACCATCCTTATTGATTGCCCCTTTCCCAGAATAACAGGAACACATTCCTTTGTGCAGTATAGATGGCCCTCGGCCCCTCAAGATGCCCCCGTCTAATCTTCAGGACCTGGGAATGTATTCTGTGGCCGAAGAGCTGAGATGTCAATCAGCTGACCTTGAGATGAGGCATGCTGTGGTTTGGGGATGGTTTGGGTGTCCCCGATGGTCCACTGTGGTTGGTAAGGTGGTGCTGTTGGGAGGTGGAGCCTGATAGGACGTTCTTGGGTTGGTGTGCTCTTAGAAGGCCATTCTCTGTTGAGAGAATTATATATGACCACACAGTGAAGTGACTTAGCTTAATAAGTCACCTAATGCATATTTTATAAAAAGGGCAGGCCTGACCCCATCTCCCTGCTCCTGGTTTGAGATGTAATCACTTGCTTCCAAGGCTTTGGTCATTGCCACCCTCCATGATATGGCACAGCCCAGGGTGGCCCTCGCCAATCTGTACTACCCCATTTGGACTTTGAACCTCCCAAACCTTGTTGGTATGCTGGCAGATGGCACCCTTGTGCTGTTTCAACTGTCTGTAGTCACTTGCTGCAGGTGCAGTGGGAAGCCAGTTTCCTAGGAGAGGACACAGGCTCAGAGAGCTGGGGTGACTGCAGGTCTCACAGGATGGGCCTGTCTGATTCTAAAGTCCTTCCTCTTTTCTCTCTACTTGGCCTAAGGGCTGGGAGGTGGGCCTGGGGCTATTGCCGGGCCCAGCCCTGCTCTCAAGTGCTCCCTGAGCTTATGGGGTCCCAGGCAGAAGGAGGCAGGGCCACATAGCAAATGGGACCTTTGCTTAGGGGACAGCTCTCCCAGCCTCTGTCTGCCCATCATCATCTCCACTGACCATCAGGCAAGATGCAGTGCCCGTCTCTGCTCTGCTAAACCCAGACCAGAGTACTGACTGGCCAGCACAGTGATTAGAGGCAGTGGTGGATGGTTAGGACCAGACATCTGGGATTTTGCTTGATGGGCTGGTAGTGTCCACTCTAAGGCTGGCATAAATGTCCCAAGCCCAAGACTCAAGACACAGGGGTTGATGGGGAATTGATCCCCTGAGAAAGGACAAGGCCGCCTTTCAGAAAAGGAAGGTGGGCCTCTTGGAAGCGGGTGGACCGAGAAGTCAGAGCCGTGCCAGTACTAAGGACAAGTTCTGCACCCCACTGCCCTCTACAGCAGCCACTGCAGACCAACCAGCACAGCACAGCCGACTGCCCCCACCCCCAGACACCTAGAGACTAACTCACTCTCTGGAGGGTAAGGGTCTGGGCTTTCCCCCGTTTCCTGGCTCCTGAGCCCCACCTGCCCTGGGTTGAAAGAGGGCTGTGTGCAGTCCCACTTCTCATCCAGCCACTCCTTCGTCTCTGGGGCCATCTGGCTCTGCCTGCCTTGGACCTGGAAGTTAGCTGCCACCTGCTTGAGCTCAGTCCCCAAAACTAAGAAGTACCCAATGGGCAGGATTTCCTGTTAGGCAGGAGAGGGGGAACTGGCTCTGAGCCCTCTGCCCGGCTGGGCCTGCTGGACAGCAGAAGTAAGCTGTCACCTCACCTCACTGTGGTCACAGAGGAGGCTGGGAGCCTGGAACCGCCAGGAGAAGCAGTGAAGTCTGCAGATCTTTGTGGAACATTGCTTGGGGATTACTGGATTATATCTGTTTATTTTGAGGATTAACAACTTTTCTTTGGAGATGCTTGGGGAGAAAAATGCAGAGGTGGACGGGGACAACACCCGGAGGGACTGAGGGATGATAAGAATGAGTGGAGGGGGGCTGGGGATGTGGCTCAAGCAGTAAACGGCTCACCTGGCATGCGTGGGGCACTGGGTTCGATCCTCAGCATCACATAACATAAAATAAAGATGTTGTGTCCACCAAAAACTGAAAAATAAATATTTTAAAAACTCTCTCTCTCTCTCTCTCTCTCTCTCTCTCTCCTCTCTTCTCTCTTAAAAAAAAAAAAAAAGAATGAAAGTGGAGGGCTGGGACTGGGGAGGAGCCCAGCAAGTGCGATGGGGCGGGCGGGCAGTCTGCCTGTCTTTGTCCCTGCAGCACTGCCCCTTGCTCTGATAGGAGGAGCTGGGGTTACCATCTATGTGGCTGGCTAATTTTAAAATTGGGGCGGGAAAAGGGATGGGCTTTAGTTAAAACAGCTGCGATTGAATCTTACATCCCAATTAAGTCTAAATACTACATTCTGAAAATGGACCATAGACTTTCTCTTTCTCACATTTGTCCCCTGCGACCATACATGGTTCCTGCCGTCTTTGTGGCCTCCGGTGGCAGTCTTGCTCTTCCTATCTTCTGCTTAGCTTGGATTCCTTTCTTTTCTTTTCTTTTTTATCTTCTTTTATTACGTTTTTCTTTTTTTCTGGAGGGTGGGTACCCGGGATTGAACTCAAGGCACTCCACAACTGAACCACTTCCCCAGCCCTATTTGTATTTTATTTAGAAACAGAGTCTCACTGAGTTGCTTAGTGCTTGCAGTTGCTGGGTCTGGTTTTGAGCTTGAGATCCACCTGTCTCAGCCTCCCAAGCCACTGGGATTACAGGCATGTGCCACTTGCCCAGCAGTTTTTTTTTTGTTTTTGTTTTTGTTTTAATTGTAGATGGACACAATATCTTCTTCTTCTTTTTTTATACCTTTATTTTATTTGTTTATTTATTTTTATGTGGTGCCAGGTATCGAACCTAGTACCTCACGCATCGAGGCAAGCACTCTACCACTGAGCTACAACCCCAGCCCTCCCAGCTCCTTTTTATATTTTATTTTGAGACAGGGCCTTTAGGGCCTAGCTGAGTGGCTGAGGCTGGCTTTGAACTTGTGATCCTCCTGCCTCAGCTTCTGGAGCTGCTGGGATCACAGGTGTGTGCCACTGTGCATGGCTTATTGTTTTGTTTTGTTTTGTTTAAATATGGAAAATGAACCATGGAATTTTAAATCTTTATTTTTAAACTATATTGTGGTACTATGGATTATCCTAGGTACTACTTTAGTGGTGTTAAGTTGGATTGGGAATGTCCCCGAAGGCTCCTGTGCTGAAGTCTTGGTCCCTAACACAGCAGGTTAGAGGTGGAGCTTTGGGGAAGTGATTGGATTATGAGGACTCTGGCTCCTCAGTGGATTAATCCACTGATGGATTCATAGCTGGCTGTACCATTGAGAGGAGGTGGAAACTGAGGGAGATGAGACATAGTTGAAGGGAGTGGGTCCTTGGAGGTGTGCCATTGAGGACTATTTCTTGTGTCCACACCCCACTTCTAACCTCTACCATGCCCTCTCCTCCACCATGCTTTGCCTCACTTCAGGCCCCAGAGCAATGAGCCAGCCGACAGTGGACTGAAACCTCTGAAGCCATGAGCCAAATAAATCTTTCTTCCCTAAAATTGTTTTTCTCAGGCATTTTGTCACAGCAATGAAAAGTTGACTAATACAAGTGGCATTCAACACATTTTGATATGTTTAGGTTTTCTTTCAGTTCAAAATGCTAATTTCCCTCTTGTTTCTTCTTTGACTCTGCAGTTTCTTGGAAGTGTGCTACTTAGTTTCCATCCATTTGAGGATTTTCCAGGGATTTTCCAGTAGGAATTCTGTTTATTTCCACTGTGGCTGGAGGATACATTTTGTCCAGCATCAGTATTCTACATTTGTTAAGACTTGTTTTATGGTTCAGAACATGGCATGTCTTGGTGCATGCTCTGCATGCTTTTGGAAAGCAGTGGCCCTTCCATTCTGCGCAGGTGGTCAGGAAACATCTTTTGGGTGGAGGTGGTGAATCATGTCTCCATCTGCCATGTCCTTCATATTTCCTGCCTGTTTATCCCACCAGTTATTAAGAGAGGGTTTGACCATCATTGTGGATTTCTCCATTCCTCTTTGTGGTGATTATCAGTTATTTTGTGCATCTAGAAGCTGTCTTATTAGATCCACATCTGTTTAAGATACTTATGTTCTCTTGACCTACGGACTCGTTTATCAGCATGGAATGTTCTCTTTATTTTTGAAATGTTTTTGGTCTAAAGTCAACTTTGTCTGATATTACCACTATTATCACTGCAGTGCTGAACCCATGGAGCTCTACTGCTGAGCTACATCCCCAGCCCTTGTTATTTCTATTTTGAGAAAGGGTCTTACTGAGTTGCTGAGTTGGCCTCAGACTTGCAATCCTCCTGCATCAGCCTCTGAAGTAGCTGGGATTGCAGGTGTGAATCACTGGACCCAGCAACTTTGTTCAATGTTAATGTGTAGATTCCAGATTGTTTTCAACTGATGTTAGCATGGCATAGCTTTTCCATTCCTTGATTTTTAACATACTTTCAACTTTATATTCAATGAGTGTTTCTTGTTATGCTATAAGGGGTTGGAGGAAGAGACCACAAGAGACCAGCTTCATGCAATGAGCAGGAGGGAGTTTATTGAAGAGGATCCTAATTCAGCGC